TGCTGCTGGTGTCTAACCCGGTCACTGCCAACCAGAGCGACCTGGACGGCCAGGACCAGCTGCGAATCCGAGTCACGGAGCTGGAGAGCGAGGTGTGCAACCTGCGTAAGATCAACCGAGACCTCTTCAACTTCTCCACCCGCATCATCACTCGGCCCCCCAAGTGAGCCGGGCACCCTGTCCTGTGGGGCCTGAGCCTCGGCCCGGATGCAACTTCCCTACCTGGACCTGAGCCCAGGTGCGCCAAGCCTGGCCACAGCCCTCCCTCCTCCCCACTGGCCTCGGGTGTGGAGGTCTCTGAGGAGGAGAGAGGAGGGGGTGGCAAGGCCGGCTCAGCTGCTGCTTTTTGTAACGTTTCCTGTTGGCGCTGCTGTTGTGGTTGATTTTGTTTTGTTTTTTAAGAAAAAACAACGTCCAAATGCTTCTCTTTTTGTGCCACTTCTACCTGGGGGTGGGCGGAGGAGGGCACCTCCTAAGTCCCAGGTTCAGAGAGGCCCAGGGCACCCCACCCCCATTCCTCTCACCACCTGAGGCTCCAAATCGCTGCTGCCCCGCCTCCCACCAGGACCCCACCTGGGGACGGATGGACAGACAGATGGACACACACACACACACACACCTGGGGTGTTCTCATCTGGGGAACACTGATGCCCCATGCACACACATGGCCCACCACCTGCCAGAGAGGCTCGGGTAGACAGAGCATACCTGTCACCAAGCAGCACTTAAGACTGACCACACCGGGCCAGGGTGGCTGCTGTGAGTGGCTTGCCCCAAGGAGATGGAGGGGGCCTGGGGCCTTGCCCCTCCCTGTGATAGCCATGGAAGGTCAGGACAGGTGACTAGGAGGCTGATATTCCCCAGCAGGCTTACCTGTGTCACTGGAACCACCTTCAGGGGCCCTCAGTGCCCCGGGGGCTCTGTCAGCCACTGGCCAGTGTGCCTGGAGGCCAGCCCAGACACGGGGCCCCAGGGCCCACGGCAGAAGCTTCCAGAAAGCTGACTAGCTGACAGCCCTGCTTAACAGTCCAGAAAGTCCTGTGATTAACAGCCTCCTGTAGCCGCCAGCGCTGAGTTCATGGTTTGGGCCAGTGTCCTGCTGGCTGCCCAGCTCTGCGGCAGCACACCAGCCTTGGATACTGGGTACTGTGTCCCCCCACCCTCAGACTGTAGCAGGAAGCAGAGGAGACATCAGCAAGTCCTCCCTCCTGTGGGGGGTGAGGGGCCTTCTGGTCATGTCTGCATCACCAGATGCCCTTCCCCAGGACACACCCCGACCATGAAGCCCTGAAGGGGAGGGACAGCAGGGCACTGCCGCTGGGGGGAGGGGGCTGAGGGTCCTACAGACACATGCCCTTGGGGCTGAGGCTCTGCACCCTGCCTACCTGGGCGGCCAGGACCAATTGTGACTCCTAGTCCCCGGAGATGGACACCCCCACTCCCAGTTTTGTGTCAGCTCAGGTCCCCGGGGAGCTGGGCTACAGGCCAGGAAGCACCTGGCTGGTGTCCCAACCATGACCATGCTGTCTACTGCCACTTCCCCTAGGCTGCCTCCTGGGGGGCTGCTCCAGCACTGGGCAGTGCCATCCTGGAAGACCCCTACCAGGCATTGCCACTGACCCCATGCTAACAGACTGACAGCATGCCCAGCAGTGGCACCGGGCACCTGCCCAGCAGAAAGACTATTAGCATTCCAGGGGCCTCTGCTGGCCTCCTCTGTCCCTGCTGTCAAGGGCACCACCAGCCCTCTGAGAGACTGGTGGGCCAGACGCCATAGTGTTGCCCCGAGATGGGTGCCTGTTGGGCAAGGGCAGATTGGGATGGGACCAACAGGTGAACTGACTGGCCCCACCTCACCAAGGCACTGTTTACCTCTGTGGCGTGGGGCCCAGACCCCTCCTTGGCCCACAGGAGCCAGGATGGGTGGCTGGTCAGTGGCCTGGGCTCTCGTCCACAGGGGCAGGGTAGGAGGGTGGCCCAGGTCTGGTTCCCCTGGAAGTGGGAGAGTTCTTGAGTGCCCAGCAAGGGCTTGGGCCCCAGGGGTTGGCCCCTTCCTGTCCTGCCCCTGGGATGTGGGGAGGGAGGGCAGCCCCTCATGCCTCAAGACTCAGACGACACCATTAATGGGCTGGGCTTCCACAGCTTCCCATCAGCTAATGGACTCCCTGGCCTGCCCTTGCTCTGAAATGCCCCAAAAGATGGATTTGGGCCGGAAACTCCCTGAGCAGAGCTGGGATGTTCTGTTCCTGAGTGGCTGCCACATCCAAGATCTTGGGAGACTCCCAAAGGCTGGAGCTGGGATGGGGGTGGGGAAAGGCTGGCAGTTGTGCTCTGCCTCCCCAGGGAG